CGCAGCCGTGGGACGGCAGCGCTGCCCGGCCTCTGCTCGCAACAGCTTGCTCCCATCTGGGTCTAGAGCAGCCCTGAGGCTGGTAAAATTCTGCTGGAGCTGAATCCGTCCAACCATACACAATGGTACGGCACTGAATTTGCTCGAGCACGGTGCCCGTTTCCTCCTCTCCCAAGCTCAGTTCTCTGGTTTGTGATAGGAAGCCCCGACGCGGAGAGCTGCAAGGGTCTGATGCCACTTCTTGTTCTGTTTGCAGTCCAAGCTGGGAGACCAGCCTTCTCTTGCAGCCTTGGTGAGCCGGATCATCGCCATGGCAGATGTCAACCGGGATGGGAAAGTGTCTTTAGCCGAGGCCAAATCCATCTGGGCGCTACTTCAGCTCAATGAGTTTCTTCTCATGCTCTCCTTACATGAGAAAGAGCACACTTCCAAACTGCTGGGGCACTGTGGGGACCTCTACGTCACCGAGAAGATCCCCCACACCTCCCTCTACGGAGTGGATGTCCCCCCCTTCCTCCAGTCACTGCTGCCTTCAGTCGTCCACCAAATCATCCACCAGTGGTTTGCACCAGCGTGGCCCCGGCGGGCAAAGATCGCCATCGGCCTTCTGGAGTTCGTGGAGGAGATATTCCACGGGACCTACGGGAACTTCTACATCTGCGAGACCAGCTTTAAGAACGTGGGCTACAACGACAAATACGACTTCAAAATGGTCAACCTGAGGAAGGTGGCAACGGAGATGACAATCAGAGGTTTCCTCAAGGGACGTCACTGTGAGCAGAACGTGGACTGCACCTACGGGAAGGACTGTATGGCGACGTGTGACAAACTCATGAAGCAATGCAAAAGCGACATGGTGCAGCCCAACCTGGCGAAGGTCTGCGGGTTGCTGCAGGACTACTTGCTGTACGGAGCACCGCTGGAGCTGAAGGAAGAGCTGCAGAAACAGCTCCGAACTTGCATGACGCTCAGCGGCCTGGCCAGCCAGATGGAAGTGCACCACTCCCTCGTCCTGAACAACCTCAAGACCTTGCTCTGGAAGAAGATTTCGAACACCAAATATTCCTAACGGGGGAAGCATGGTCCTGGAGTTTAGAATCTGCAATCCCGGAGTAAAGTCCAAGGGCTGAAGGCCTCTTTCTCCATCCTCTCCCCCACAGGAAAACTACACCCTGCACAGGGAGTTCAGCATAGCTGCAGCCCCTTCTTCTTCATGGACCACCAAGCGTCATGACTTCCACCGCCCAGCAGGATCATCGATACGGTCGGCAGGAGCGTGCTGCGGAGCTGGGACACCGGGAGCCGGGCTGAACAGGCTTGGGGGAAGAAGATGCCATGGAAAGCGATAAGGAAGCGGAGCCCAGCTGGATGCATCTAACTGTTTCTCGATTAACAGGAAAGCAGTGCGGAGAGATGAGAATGAATCATTCATGCTGTACTTGTCACATCTTCTTTTGATGAACATCTCTGATGTAAATAAATAGCTTTTACGTGAATCACACCAGTACATCAATAGTGAAACAGCAGCATTTTAAGTACCAGCTTGCTTGTGATCTAAAAAGGAGAAAAAGGTAGATTTCCCTATTCAAAAATCTCTCCTTAAGCGTCTGAGTGACCTGCCATCAGATCCAGCTGTAACTTAGGAAGCAGATAAGCTGTCTTTTCCACAGTGGAGAATCCTGGCAATTCTTTCATTCCTTTTTTAAGTGCCTGACCCCAGACACAGTGATGCGATGGCTTGTGTAAGGCTCCCACCCGGCTGCCCCTGCCCGCAGTCGGAATTTGGCAGCACGGGCCATTCCCTCTCACGTGTTGGCTTTGGAAGCGTCTAAGGCCAAGAATAGCTTAAAGGAAAAGGGCTAAACATGAACGGTTCTGACCGGTTAATGTATGTGCTCTGTGTGTTACTTCTCACAATACTCAGAGCAGGCATAAGCCAACCTCTTGGTTTAATTCTCCTAAAACTAAGCTGGGTTTGCACTGCAGAGGTTAAAGATTAATACCAGAATAATCCAGTGCTTCTCTCATTATTAAAATGAATTTCCAGGCAAGCTTTCAGCAGGTTTCAAGACATTTGTTTGGCTGTGTACACACTACCAGGTCTCTAACTATAGTCTGTTGCCTTTAAATGCTCAATTATAGCAACCTTTTAAAACTACGGGTAGAGAGGAAGAGTTTACGTAAACTACCCCAAGCTTGCTCTGTTCCCAGCACAATCGTATTCCCGCTGATGGACCATATGCCAGTGCTCTTGCCAACAACTGCTCAGTGAAGCGGAGTGTATATCTGAAGTACAATCACAAAGAAAAAAATACATCCGGCAGTATATATCGCCTGTGAAGGCAATCAGTAGCGTCACAGCTGCAAATTTATGAGCCTTTGGAGGAGAGATATCAGTATTTCCTTCTATTAGTTCTATAGGATCATCGTTACCTCTCACTGTTATTTATGGAGGAAATATTTCAGTGTCAACAGTGCTCTAAATCTAGCAGGGAGCCAGCGTAGCTCACTTCCCGCAGAGTTGGCTTTGCAACCTAATTCATCTGTGGGTAAGGTCGAGCGTTTGTAAGGTTTCTGTGTTTGAAGGCTGCCAAGCTCCTCAGCCCGCCCGACTCCCCCTGAATTCAGTACCAACGCTGCAAAGGTGGTCGAGACCCCACCACCAGGCACTGCACTGGTGTGTGCTGGTGCAGGGGCATCGCACTGGTGTGTACTGGTGCAGGGGCACCTGCACGGGAGCACTGGGCAGAGGGCGAAGGCCGGGACTGGAATTCGGTAATGAGGCTCCGCGCAGCCACCCCAGCTCATCTATTGTCCTGCATTCCCATGGCAACCAGCTCCACTGACAGATTAATTTTCTTCTGCTATTAGAAAAAGGAACCCAACAACCATGCCAAATCTGCTCCTTAGATATTCAGGAAAGTCATTTTTCACCCTCCCCTCTCTGGTTGTAATTTACCAGTAAATTTTGTCCAGGGAAGCAGCATTCCCACTACACTTAATCCCCACAGCTCCCTTCCCCAAAAGCAGTATTAGAAAGTAAGCTCCTAGAAAAGTGGAGGAAAAGCACCATGTTCCTTCCTTATCCGTAGTCTTAAATATGAGAATCTCTTTAAGCATTTGTGATGAAAGATGAAGTTGAAGGGGCATGACAGCCCGTGTACGTACTTTGAAGAACTAGCCAAGACAGCTTTATTCAAATAAAGACAGTTCTGGCTGGAACTGGCACATTACCCTGTTATTAATCTGCACACCCCAGTAACAGCAGCGGACACTCCCAGGAATCACTCATGACTCACACCCCCAAAGAACACCGAGTTTTGTTCATCGCTAATAAAGTGTACAAGTGTCTTCAGACACATGCTTATGGTTTACAAGCTAGACCGCAATAGAGGAGGAAAAATGACTAAAGGCAAAGCTATTTTACACTCCTGTCTTCTCCAGACATCCCACGTTAGCTGGAGAAAAAAAAAAAAAAAAAAAAAAGCCAGAACACTAAAGATTGACAATCTGATCTCACCACATGCTGCTGTTTTAGCAGCACAGTAGATTTGTGCCACAAAAGGATGGAGGAAAGCAGCGAGACTTCTGCCTTTCATAGCTTAAAGTAAAAAAAAACCATCCCAGTTCTCATATCCACAAATAAGTCTTAAATCCTAGAATGGTTAAAAGTATTACTTGGGGTGCTACAAATACACAAGCATAATCATTTCAGACTTATTGTAGGTGGCATCTTTATTTATTTTGTTTTTTAAATCCTTAACCATGTAGAGAAAACAGAGATTCAAACAGTGCTTTAGGATATGGCTGTGAAAACAGCATATGAGCGGATGACTGGGAGAAGGCACTCTTACGGCGATTCCACAGGAGTTCAGCAAAAGCAGAAGGGACACTTGGAGCACAACAGCTATTTTTTTTTAAACGGACATTTGAGTACACAGGTTGCAGCAAACACGCAGAACCACAAGCAGTACTGCACACACTTTGACTGGCTGTAGTGTGCTTGAACCCACATATGAGAAAAGATGAACTTTTAGGAATCTGCAAATCTTCGAATGCGGACGCTGCCAGTCATTTCTTTTGCTGTAGCCAGGTTTGATAGAAATTCTAAGACTCAAGGCATGATCTGCAAATAAAAAAGGCCCAGGATGTTAGACAAATTCAAATACAGCCAGTAAAAGCTAGCAATAAATGTCAATACTAAAAAGCTAATTAATCCATAGCATCCAGAGGCCTCCTGTTCACTATAGTAGAGTATCTGAGGTAAGGCACCACAGCTAGTCAGGACAGAAAATTGCTTTTAATTGCAGAGGCAACATTTTCAGCTAACTGAAGAATTAAATCAGGTTTGTCTTGGGACTGTCCAAAGATTTTTCATATCCCACAGGAAATAAAAAAGCTTCATAAAATGAACCCAAATTTTAAGGAAGTCATTAGGTGGGCTCGGTTATCATAATTCACAGAGAATCTTCAGAAAGCCACTTCCTTCAGTCCAGAACCACAGGAACACCTTGTCTCGCACTGGCTGTATTCATGGCAGTCAGTGGAAGCTGAGTGCCTGCAAACTTGTGTGGATCAAGACCTAAAGCAGTGACAGAAGGCAGATAGCACTAATCAATTACACTAATTTAGGAGAGGTTCTTTGCCACTAGATCATAAAGGTTTTGAAAAAAGATCTTCTGGCTAGGCACAGGGCACTCTGGCAAGTCTAGGAAAGGGATAATTTAACAGCACGATAGCTGGAGCCTGCTCTTGGTCACTCTTTCACTCTTAGACTCCCTAAAAATCAAAGGTGAGTTTGCCAGCCTCAGTGCAGAGGCAAGCTATTAATAGGGCAGAGAAAAAAAAGCTGGCCTTATTCCAGCATTCAAAGCCATGACAAACCAGTTCTAAATGATGAAGGGCTAAGTTAATGTGCAGAAAGATTTTTAATTTCTCTCAAAAACACTTTAATACAATATCAATCTTTTCCACAGCTGAGAGCCAGACTATTCTTTCAGTAAAGCAATATTCATAGCGTGGGATTGCTGCTCAGTCTTGGGAAGATGGTTAACAGTAAATGCTGATAGGGAAGTTTTAATAGCTATCCTACGCCTCACACAGTGAAGTTCTAAAGAGAGACTCATTAGGCACTCACTACCCCTACAGGACCCTTGATGTGAGTGAAGTCTGATGAAAAAACTCAAATCTGTATTTCAGGGGTAAAAGATGTCAGGAAATTTAAATAGAAGTCACATCCTAAGGCATGCCTCTTTGCATAACCATATCCCCAACAACCTTATTAGCATTCTTTTCCAAAGCCACTGCTGGTAGGCAGTGACTTTCCCCAATTAAATGACTCATTCTGCAGTCAGCAGCTACCCGCTTGGTTAACGGCACCTTTGGCCCTCATAATGCCCATTTAATGAGGACATTTTCCACCATTTAGTACTGCCAGATTTTGTCAAGCTATTAGTCACTGCAAAGCCTCTCAGAGTTTCACAATACTATCTACATGTAGCCAGAGCTTCTCTCATCACTTGTTTTAATAACACAGGCACAGCAGAGGCTCACGTGCACCTCATCACAATGACAGTGACACAAGAGCTATTAGGATATATCGATACCTGTGCTCCCTAGCAGCTCACTGCCTTGAAGGTCAAGCTCCTTTACTATCACGCTAGCACAGCAGAAACCAACTAAAAAGTCACACTGTGCTTGATTGTATTTTCGCTTTTCGTCTGCTGTGTTAGCAGCTAGAACATGATGCACAAGGAAGCTAGATTTTGTCTTGGGCAACAAGGCAAAGCATTCTACTGCTGCACTTAATGAAAGTTAGTTTAGAAGGACTTTAAAACACTTCAGGTTTTAGCATTAATTTTTTGCTTGGATTACGGAAATAAATCTTATTTCTTTCTTCATTACACCCAAGGCATAATCTCATCATCTTGCACATGTGACACAAACATTTTTTCAGTAGTGTTTTGTGGCAGACTGCAGTAGTACCAGAGCCTGTTTTGATAATCTCAGGCACTCTAATATACCTAAAAGTGTAAACTCTCAACAAAAGTGTCTTGTTCTGACTGACAGTTGCCCTTAAAAGGATGCACTTTGGGAGATGAGAAAGGCAGTTTGAGGAAGTGAAGTAAGATGAAAAAATAGTTAATTTTAAGTTCTTTCTGCAAGTACACACTAGTAGCATTTTTTTTTTTTAATTTGTCTATGTCCTTTAAGAAGTCAGAAGGGTAAACTCTCAACAAAAGTGTCTTGTTCTGACTGACAGTTGCCCTTAAAAGGATGCACTTTGGGAGATGAGAAAGGCAGTTTGAGGAAGTGAAGTAAGATGAAAAAATAGTTAATTTTAAGTTCTTTCTGCAAGTACACACTAGTAGCATTTTTTTTTTTAATTTGTCTATGTCAGAAGGACAAGATGTGCCAAACCAAGGTTTCTAGCCAGACACTGTTTTAGTAACACATTGAGGTTTAGTGTTTTTCCAAGTGACA